GGAGTTCATCCTACAGGTTTCCAAGCAAAGCAAATAGGAGTTCCTTTCTACGTTCTTCCAACCAGATAGATAAAGATATATGAGTAGATATAGATACAGTTATAAGATATAGAGGGGTGGGCAAAAGTAGGCTTACAGTTGTTTATATGGAAAATAATACAGTAATTAATAAGTAATGATATAAGAAAACTTGTTTCACGTGCTCACAAATGTAAATCTTCTTTTGCCCTCTCCTGTGCATGTATCTGTATACATATTTTGAGTCTTTCTCAGAACCACTCACCCTCTTACTTCAATGATAATCAATGATAGAAAGAAGTCTATTTACTCATAAATATTAACTTGAGTGTACATTATCAAACTGGGAGTAGCACGTCCATCCACTCACTCATTCAAGTGCTCCAGAAGAGCAGGTACATTTGTCTGCGGCTCATCATTTATTGTTGCGCTAGTTCAGGCCCACTTTGTCTGAGGTGCTGTCGTTAGTGCTGAACGCACAGCCGTGAACAGGAGTGACACTGTCACCGGCCCCAGGGTGCGTATAGTCCAGCAAGGGAGCAAGAGAACAAAGAAACAAATGTAACACTCACAAACAGTGGAAAGAGCTCAGATGGAGAGAAACTGGGGGGAGAAGCGGCAGACTACTCGGGTCACAGCCTACTCAGGGTGACAGGGGAGACCTCTTGGAGCGAATGCCCACTGAGCGGAGACTGAACATGAGGAGCTAGCCTGAAAAGATGTGCAGGGCACCACACACCACACACATCGCACATGTGCATACACGCACCACACACGCACAGACACAGATACACCCGTTGCTTGAAGGGAACATTTCAGAGCTGAGGGAAGACTTTAGTATGAAAGTCCTGAGACAACTGTTTTTATTACTCAGTAAAAAGAAGGTAAGAAGACACTTTATTTCCCACAACAGTTTTATCTACCATAACACTGGGTGATAAGTATGTAAGAAGACTTGAACTACTAATGATACCATAGGTGATAGAAAAAGAAAAGCCTTTATTCCTGGGCCCAACCCTTGGCTTTATGACCATGGGCAGAGAAGTACAATACTTTTTTGCTTAGGGGGAAAAAGAACTTTATGACTAAAATACCACCTAGAAAAGTAACTTTATTATTGTTGATTATTCTATATCTGAAACTCCCCACGTCTACTCCCCCATTCCCAAATAAAAAACCACTTTTATATGTTAAACTATATGTATATGTCACATTATAAATACATGGTAAGTACAATCATATATTTAAAACACAAGTTTTTTACACAAGGTACTATCTGTAGCAGTGCTATTGTAACAAGGGGTAATAAGTTAAATGTGTTCTTTCCTATTTTAAGTATTTAAAAATAATTTTATGAGTAGAAATACATGCCTACTTCACCAGCCAATTAGCAGCTCATTTATTGAGCTTGCCGAGGATCCACCAGGTGCCAGGCACTGAAGCAGAGACCGACAAAGCTGACAGGCAGTGGGCTCCAGCTTACCTCTGCCCATGTGGAGATGACGGTGCAGTGGGGCAGATGGGCAATCAACAAATATTTACAGAGAGAAGTACTGACAGCATGTTATAAAATCACCACCTCCCTCTGAAAGTCTGGAAATGACACGTAAGGTGGGACAGCACAGAAGAGTAAGAACAAAGAGAAGGGGGTGGGGGGAACATGCTAGGCCTCAGGGGCTGCACGTGGGAAGGCCCTGACTGGAAGCAAGGTTGGCACACTAGTGCAGGTTGGCTTCCAGCAGGAGCCAGGGGAGGAGGACAACAGTCCCTGATGCACTGGAGAGATGGGCAGCGACTGGTCCCGGAGGGTCCTGTAAGGCTCACTGAGGAGTCTGGGCCTCGTATTACAGGACTCAGAAGCCCCAGTCCAGGCTAGAGGTGGGAAGTGACAAAGTTCTACATGGCCCAGGAGGACAAGTGAGAAATGAACAGAGTGAGGGTCCAGGAGAGCCGAGTGGAGATGAAGAGGCCAGTGGTCTTTTCCTGGAGCCTCAAGATCTCAACCCTGCCCTGACTGGTGTGACTCAGTGGGTTGAGCATCATCTCGCAAGCTGAAGGGTCACAGGTTCAATTCTCAGTTAGGGCACATGCCTGGGTTGTGGGCCAGGTTCCCAGTTGGGAGCATGCAAGAAGCAACGGATCAATGTTTCTCTCCCTTTCTTTCTCTCTCCCTTCCCTCTCTCTAAAAAAATAAAAACAATAAAAAAAAATAGACTTCACCCCTACAAACCATGAAAAATGGGGGCATAGGGAATATTGTGAGTGCAGAGTCCTTTGGAAACCTTCCAGATCTCCACCTTTCATGTAAAAGGTCTTTCTCAGCTCTGGTTATTCTTAGCTCACATTTGGGGGCTGGCATTAAAGTGCTGAGTTAAAGTTCAGTGTGGAAGGGCGAAGTCTGTCAGCTGGTGTGATCTAAGCCCCCTACACACACACATGCTCTGATGCAATTGCGTGCTCTGTGGGATCAGGGTCCTTTCTATCTTCTCAGCCACCAGATGGATTCCCTGCATCTGGAACATAGTGGGAGCTCAAAAACACTCGATGCTGTTATTCAACCTCTCTGAGCCTCAGCTTTCTCATCTGAAAATTGGGGATAAAAATATTTATCTGGCAGGTGCTATGAGAATACATAGTATATGTAAAGCACCTGGCACAATGCTTAGTATTTAGCAGATTAGTTATAAATGAGAGTAGCAATTGTTATCGTTATCATTTCTAGGGATGACAGCAGGGCAGCTGCTTCATGACCATTTGTGGTCACTACTGGACGCACTAAATATAGAGGTAAAGCCCAGGACCTGTTGAGAGGCTAGTTATTACGGTACATATCAACAAAGCAAGGAGAGGACTCAAGATAATAGCCCTTGACATTCACTGGGCTGGAAGTCCAAGAACACTCAGTGTGACTGAGTGGAAAGAAGGTGGAGAGTGACCTGCATCACCAAATAGGGTGGCCCTTCATGGAGAATGCTCTTCTATCACTCCGTTCAGTATAGGCAGCCTGGGAGGTCAAAGGGTGTGCCGAGCCTTCCCCCAGACTCAGACGCTATCCCAAAAGCAGGTAAGCTAATGGATTGTTTCTTTTGGACCAGAGTTTTCCAATTTAAAAGTAATGTATGGCTACAGTTTTAAAAAATCAAACAGTACAACATGGTGTAAATAGAAAAGTCAGCATTCTTATTGCCCCAATCTGTCAGGCAGATTCCCCAGAGAATCAGTTATTTCTTATACTTTTATGCATATACAAGAATATATACTTATTTTTTTACACGAGATTAAAAAAATTGTCCTGAAACTTGCTTCCCCCTCCCAACTTTAATAAAAAATATCTTTGCATATCTATATATATAGTTTTACCTCCTCATTTTTAACAACTGCTCTATCGACTAAGAGCATGTAATAAGCCTCCAGATCTGGATGGCTTAACATAATTGAAGTTTATTTCTCATTTACCTAAATCCAATTGGTGGTAGGGAATGTCTGGGGAGGCGGGAGGTGCTCTGATCCTAGCATTTATTCAGGGACCCAGGATGACCGAAGCCCTGCCAGCTTCCACATGTGACTTCCACATACTGGCTGGCTTCTAAGGTCACCCTGGGTGTTGATATCCAGCTAGCAGATGGAGACAGTGTAGAGGAAGGTGAGCCTGTTTTATATGAACCAGGTCTAGAAGTGACATATATCACTTCTGCCCACATTCCACTGGCCAGAATTAGACCCCCTACTTTAGACTGGTACTAGGAGATGTCCCAGCTGGATAGCTGCTTCCTGCAACTCCGCACTGTGGTGGGCAAGCACAGACCTTTGGCGGGCAGTTAGCTACATCTGCCCAGATCCACTATGGCAACACATTCTCAGCTATTGAAGGTTTAGGAGGATGGGTTTCCTTCTCTTTTTTCTACTTTTCTATTTGTCTCTTGTCAAAGGTAATTTTTTTATTCTGACCTGAGAACATGCTTACTGATTTTAGAGAGAGGGGAAGAGAGGGAGAAAGACAGGGAGAGAAACATTAACGTGAGAGAGAAACATTGATCAGCTGTCTCTCACACGCACCCTGACCAGTGATGGAACCTGCAACCTGGGCATGTACCCTGACCAAGAATCAAACCTGCGACCTTTCAGTATATGGAATGACACCCAACCAACTGAGCCATACCAGCCAGGGCAAAGGCAAATTTTGAAAGTGTGGGAAACCACCGGTAAGAATGAAGAAATAAGAAAATGGACACCTGTAGAGTAGGCATACTAGTTCAGACTTGGGGGGGGGGTGGTAAGGAGGAGACACTACTAATGAAAAACCCTAAAAAGATCCATATCTTTGGCCCAGAAACACTTGTAAAGACGTTTCTTAAAGAAATTGATGGATTACTGCTCACATTGTGTGCAGGAGATTATTTATAATAGTGACACACTATAAGCAACCTAAACACCCAATGACAAAGACCTGTTTACATTACAGGGCATCCATATAATAGACTCTGCAGTTGTTTATAATTGTGTAGATACCTGCAAAACATAAAAATATGTCCATATGTTATGATAAAACATAGTACTCCTCAACAGTATAGATAATTTTTAAAAACAAATTGATTACTTGTAGCAAAAAGGTGGAGGACATATATTAAATAGTTTACAGTATTTATCCCTGAGCAATATGACTGTGGGTGTTTTCCACTTTCCTCTTTTACATCTTTATCTAATGTCTCATTTTATCATTAGAAAAAAAAAGTGAAACTATTTTCAGCTTGCAACAAACAAATTTAAAACAATGTTGATAGAGGAGATCAGGGTTTAAGGGATGACAAGCAAGTGTGGGAGTCAGATCTGGCCTCCTGGACCTTGCCTGTCCGCTGGGCCTGTCAGCTGACACTCAGGTCACTATCAGAAGCACTTTTCTCTGTTGAAGTGACTGGCTTTTGTTGCGCCATCCCCAGGTTATAATGGGAGGGGAGGACAGGCCTCAGAGTAGTCAGCGGCAGCCCCGGCTGTTGGTGGGCTGCAGCTCGCCACACCTCCAGCCTCTGTGCATGGGGAACACCATCAGGGCCCTCGTGGCCTTCATTCCAGCTGACCGCTGCCAGAACTATGTGGTTGGAGACCTCCGGGAGATGCCCCTGGACAAGATGGTGGATCTGAGTGGGACCCAGCTACGCCGCTTCCCCATGCACGTGTGCTCCTTCCGGGAGCTGGTCAAGCTCTACCTGAGCGACAACCACCTCAGCAGCCTGCCTCTGGAACTGGGGCAGCTACAGAATCTGCAGATCCTGGCCCTGGATTTCAACAACTTCAAGGCTCTGCCCCAGGTGGTGTGTACTTTGAAAGAGCTCTGCATACTCTATCTGGGCAACAACAAACTCTGCGACCTCCCCAATGAACTGAGCCTGCTCCAGAATCTTCGGACCCTGTGGGTTGAGGCCAACTGCCTCACCCAGCTGCCAGATGTGGTCTGCGAGCTCCGTCTCCTTAAGACTCTACATGCCGGCTCTAATGCCCTGCGTCTGCTACCAGGTCAGCTCCGGCGCCTTCGGGAGCTGAGGACTATCTGGCTCTCAGGCAACCTGCTAACCGAGTTTCCCCCTGTGCTGCTTCACATGCCCTTCCTGGAGGTCATCGATGTAGACCGAAACAGCATCCGCTACTTCCCCAGCTTGGCCCACTTGCCAAGTCTGAAGCTGGTTATCTACGACCACAACCCTTGCAGGAATGCACCCAAGGTGGCCAAAGGTGTGCGCCGCGTGGGAAGATGGGCAGAGGAGACCCCAGAGCCTGACCGCAGAAAAGCCAGGCGCTACGCTCTAGCCGAGGAAAGCCAGGAGGCTCAGGCACTTGCCCTGGCTCCCACACTTGCTCCTACCACCTCCTGAGCTTCGGTAGTAGGTCAATGCCAAGAACCCAACTCCAGCAGAGTGCAAAAGGTTGTTCTGGAACATTTGGGGTATCTCTTCTGTAGGAGCTGATAATCAGATGAAACCTCTAAATCACACGAAGCAGAAAAATGTCCTGGCAAACATCTCTGCCAAAGGGAAGTTGTGTGCTACAGGAAGCCTGCCAACTTCCTTGCTAGAAAACCAGCCTCTCCAAGCAGGTATTTTGAAACTGAAGAGCCAAGGGCTGGGACACTGTGGAGTCCTCCACTCTCCAAAAGTGGCTGGTTGTGAGGTCCGTGAGCTCCTGAAATAAGGTATTTATAGTACTCACCTAGAGGGACTGTCTCCAATCTTCTGTAGGATGTATTTTCTTACCATGAGTGACCACAATAGTGTGAAAATATTACTAATTCAAGCCACTTAAAAGGGCATTTCCACCTAATCAGACTCACAAAAAGACCTTGCTTTTCCCCTGTTCAGTGAAGGCTGAAAAGACCCCTGATGAAGAATGCCTCTCGCTGGAGGTCATCTGACCCTTCAAACTTGACAGTGGTTCATGGGAACTTAGCTCACCTTCCCGAAAAGGTTTGACTCAAGGTCTGTTCTCAACTGTTTACTGTCACTGACAATGCTAGAAGTCATCTAGAAAGCACAATCTATGGCAATGTGGTCTCTAATATCAAGCCTAGTTGTGACCTGGCTGCCTCTATGAAGCAAAGCACTCCTATTTACTCACATTAACAAGCCAGAGCTGAATTGAATCCCCTCCCATGGAGGGAAGCATTTCTAGAATCACACTGGGTTAAAGGCAGTAGGTGAGAAACCTGCTCACTTGAAACAAGGATGTGGAAATCTGACCTGCAGGTTCTGGTATACATAGAGATTTTCTGCCTCTTTAGCTTCAGTATCTCTGCCTTTGTTCTGATTTGACTTTTGTATATAGGGTCTTTTGATGATCAGTATAAAAATCTAGGTATTTTAGCCATTTAACTATGTAAATTGTGACCTTCCCATGAATATGTCAACTGCTGTCAGTGGGTGATTTGATAACACAATCCCTTAAAAAAAAATTTTTTTTTATTCTTTTAGGGAGAGGGGAAGGGAGGGAGGGAGAAAGGGAAACATCAGTGTGTGAGAGATACATCAGTTGGTTGCCCTTCACACACCCCCACCTGGAGACCTGGCCCACAACCCAGACATGTGTCCTGACGGGAATTGAACCTTTGGTTCACAGGCCAGGGCTCTATCCACTGAGCCACACCAGCCAGGGCTGATAATACAATCCTTTTTGTAAACCTCTTTAGCAATCAAGGACACAAAGGGTCATCTTAACTAAAACATACTATATAGTTAGCTTTTAAAACATTACTTTTGCCATAAAAGCATCTTAGCCCAGCAAAGTTTGGTTCTCAAATGACATTACACAGCAGACTGTTTTCATGTTTTCCTACAAAATATTTCTTGCTAAATCAGAGGAAATTTCATTTCACATAATCTTCCTATCACCATCCCATCTGTGGAACAAGTTGATTAGACTTGAGTCATTAAATGTAATGTCAAACATGTTAACTCCTTCAGCAGGTTTAGATTTAGACAGTGAAATTTATAGTCTATTTTCTCATTCCGAATGATTGAACTAAACTATACTCAACTGATGACAGAAACTTTCTGCCAACAAAACCGCCTGCTGACCTGTATACACAGAGCCAGTCTTATGAGTGCTTGGCTTTATTTTGACCTTATCTTCCCCTTTCCAGGGTTAAGAGCCTTTTCCAGTGTTGCCACAGACCAAAGCCATGAAACAAACTGTAGCCACATAACCAATACGGAGTCCTCACCTAAGAAGCTAACTGGTCTGCAGCAAATGTCAAATTATAAACATTTCGGCACATTCGTCAAGCTGTGTTCTTCTAAAATAATCAATACATAAACATCTCCAACAATATGGTTAAGATTTACCACTGATTTTGCTGTCTAAAGTGACTGTAAAGTAATATTTGCATTTCCATTACTTTCTGATGTTTTCTTGAAATTCTGACATAAGTAGAATATAAAAAAGGGAAGATGTTGAAGTACCAGATATAAATTTATTTATGATTTTACCAGTCCCGAAACCATATGACCCAGTGATTCCACTTCTACGAATATATCCAAAGAATCCCGAAACACTAATTCATAAGAATATATATACCCTGTTCATTGCAGCATTATTTATAGTAGCCAAGATCTGAAAGCAGCTCAAGTACCCATCAGTACATGAGTGGATAAAAAAAAGCTGTCCATTTACTCAAGAGAATACTACTCGGCTGCAAAGAAGGAAACCCTACCTTTTGGGACAGCATGAATGGACCTGGAGATAGAAATCTGTCTGGTATACTAGGTGAAATATGCCAGTCAGAAAAAAACAAACACCATTCAATATGTGGAATCCAATGAACAAAACAAACAAAACAGAACTCAGATACGGGGAACAGACTGACAGCTGTCAGAGAGGAGGTGGTGGTGGGGGTGGGGACTGGGTGAAAAAGGTGAAAAGATTAAGAAAAGAAAAAAACCTCAGACAGACAACAGTGTGATTACCACAAGGAAAGGGGGGTAGGGGAGGGAGAAGAGGGTAAAGTGGGGATAAGTGGTGTTGGAAGGAGACAGGACTTGGGGTGGTGAACACACAATATACAGACGATGTGTTGTAGAACTAGTTGGACCTCTGAAACCTAAATAACTTTATTAACCAATGTTACTTCAATAAAGTAATTTTTTGTAAAAGATAAAAGTCCTGAAACACAAAGTGTTACACAAGAGTAAAACCTCTTCCAGAAGTCTGTATAGAATTTTAGCTTCCATAAATAAAAGTGATGCCAGCAAAAATCAATATGAATTCTATAGAAATACATTTTTTCTCTTCTGTCCTAAAATGCAACATCACTGTAATTTCACACTTAAAAAGTAGGCTTGTTAAATTTTAACTCAAAAACCATGGTGTATTACAATGGTTAAGAGCATAGCCTTCAAACTACCCAAGTTCAAACCCCAGGTTTGCCCTTCACCACTGGTCAGTTAGTCTGTGTGCCTCAATTTTCTCATCATTAAAATGGTTAAGTTCCTACCTCTCAGAGTAATGTTAAGGATTAAACAAATTACTGCGTATAAAGTACACAGAACAGTGCCTGACAGGTGGCAGTTAATGTTTACATACCACATTCTTTCATTGTTATGCCATGCAATACAATACTTACATTTACCCTACAATCAGTAATTCCTTGCTTGAAGGAAAAAAAAACGCTATGAAACAAGAAAGCTTTTTCTTTTTCAATAAAATTTTCAACAGTATCTGTAGTCTTGAACATGAGAAATATAATTGCAATGTGGTCCAATTCTTCTGGCTTGCCTAAAATCAGACATGATTACCTAAGATTTTATTTTTAAATTTCTGAATGAATATACTTGCCCTTTCCCTATTATTCTAGAATCAGTGACATCACCAATGCACCATAAGTCCTCAGTTAACATTGACAGGTTCTACAACTTTAAGTGAAAGGGCACATAACAGCCAATTTTACCATAGGCTAATATAAATTAGTTAAGTTCCTATGGCATCACAGCATTACAATGAAACAACACTGAAAAAAATATGAGAAACTGCTGTAATTGAAAACATGAGCCTTCCTTGGTACTAAGCCTTTGTGTGTCTTAAGGGGCATGAGGTATAAGACACAGGTGTCTATCTGCTAGACACTTTACTCTCTGGCTTTTGTCAATGTAAAAAAATGCATAGACCTTATAATCTCACTAGCACAGAAGGGATATTAATACTACTAAAAATACTAAGTTTCCATGCTTTTCCCCCTCTCTAGACATAACCTACTTCTGGAGAACAGGAAGGTGTTATTTATCTCTGAATCCCTGGTGGCTAGCACAATTCTACCAAGGAACCTGAATTTTGGAGATTTTATCATGCACCCAGCCCACAAGAATGGCACTATCCTCAGGGTTTTAATTCACATAACCTGTTCAATACCCCTTTGTACTGTACAACTCATAATTTATAAATGAAAACTCTGTAATCAGGTTTGCTTTATTCTTCATACTGAGAATCTGAAATGTTCTACAGTAATCCTAATTTTAAAAAGTCCTCTTTAGCCCTGGTTGGTGTAGCTCAGTGGACTGAGTACAGGCCTGTGAAGCAAAGAACCGCTGGTTTGATTCCCAGTCAGGGCACGCCTGGGTTGCAGACCAGGTCCCCAGTAAGGAGGAACACATGAGAGGTGACCACACATTGATGTTTCTCTCCCTCTCTTCCCTTCTCTCTAAAAATAAATAAATAAAATCTTTAAAAAAAAAGTCCTCTTTACACTTCTTTTTTAGGGATGTTCTAATACTCTAGAGAAAGTATGAGACAAAGCAGACTTAGAATTCTATACAAAGGGCATTTTGTTGACTTATCAGTCAGGGTCCTGGCCAGAAAATTTATTCACCCCCCATATGGTTTACATGGAGAGACTTTAACAATGGAACGATTACTAGACAGGATTGGGGGGGGGGGGGACAATACTGAGGTAGTAATATTGACACACAGAAACAAGTGCAACAGCAGCAGCTGCCATTACCCACACAGCTGAGAAGGGAACAGAAATGTCACCCAAATCCAGTAAGAGCTGCGAGTACCCTGAGAAGTGATAGTAGTGATAGGTCTTTCAAGGATGCAGCCACTTTCAGAGACAGAGAGTAAAACCGGAAAGAAAATGATTCCTTCTCCCCACATCTTGCCAGTGCCTCCTGAGTTAAACCACAGGAAGTCAGTCCACAAGGAGCTGGGAAGTGGTCATCAAGAGGAGCCCCATGGCACCCAAGCAGGCGAAGAATGGATCTTGGCTTGAGGAGAGCTAAAAGGAGAATAACCAGCACACATTCTCCTTCAAAAAACAACAAAAAAACCCCTAAGTTTACTAGAATAGACTTCAAATTCCTGATCATTAGACAATTTTCTATGCAGTAACTATTATGTACATTGCAACTCTCTTATTTCCATGTCACAAAAGTCTTGTGCAAATAACACTGCTTCCACATTTGCTATTTCAGACCTTACAGAAACTCCATCCCAAAACTCATAGGAATTAGAGGAGCCTAGTTTAGAACTTTGAAAACTAAAGATTTTAAAATTTGTTAACTTGGAATATTCTACAACCATCACAATAAAATCTGTAAGGGCTTCAAAAGATACGAATTCAAAGACGAAAAGGGACACGGGTGTATTGTTCAACGTAACAACTGAACTCCCATGTTTCTACCTTTAACTGGTGTATTCTTTTCAAGATCTGTGGAGAAAAAAATGTGCCCAAGAATGCTTTTAGATTAAAATGCTACTGTAAGCCATCTGGTCCCTCAGGAAAGACGTTTAAACCCACCTCTCCCACTGAAACCTCTGCAGGTTTTATACACTCATCTGCTCCACTTGCACTGTGGGATGTAAACTAATGTTATCACGCATGATAAAGTACTTAAAAAAATCACACAGCAAACAGTACCACTATTAATATTCCTAAAAGTAAAAAAATAAAATCAGTATTATTCTCTTTAACGACCTCAGCGTATTTCTC